AAAAAAGATAAAAATCATGCAGGACCTACCAAAGGTTCCAATTTTTCACGCTTCTTCCCACCAATAAACAAACGACCACGACAAGCGAATCCGCAAGAGCTAAGAAACTCGCTTGACGAAAAATCGAAGTTGTTCTACAATGGGGTAAATTACAGAAACAAGCACAGCTAGCTGATGTATGACTACGTCACTCAAATATGTCATAATTTACCGAAAGAGGCGAGCTGTAAGACTCATCAATGAAGGACGAGCTACCATATCGCTGTCGCTTTAGCTCAACTGATGATTCTTGCGTTACGTCCAATGGAAGCGACAGTGATGATGAAGACCTTTCACGTGATGACATCTAAATTTCGTATGAGGAAAATGACTGAAATCCTTCTAGTATTACTGATAAACGAAACTGTACAGCACAAACGATCATTCAATGGAACGTAGTTTGCAAGCAACATAAAGAAGCTGATACTACTATGCCGATCCTGCAAGCCCAATCGTGTGTTCCCGTTTAATTCAAAATCTCCGAGCTGCTAATCACAACACGATTCGGACCAGTATGACCGGTTACTACAGTTAAGACTAATCAGAAAGTGACCAATGGCGAAAGAGTGGCTTCACATTGTCTCTTTTTACTTCACAAATTGAGGAACTCACTTCAATCACCGGTAGATTGCTGGCCGCCGCACGTTTTCGTGACAGAGACGGGCGGTTCGTGGATCGCATCCCATTTGTGGTTGTTGTGGAAGAAGCAAGAGGAGAAAGTGGACGGCCCAACATAACGATAGCAAGGTGTCTGAAACTAAATACATGTGAAATGGAAGGATTATATGGCTTAACGGAAGCAGAAGTAATCTGGTACACATTGCTGGCAGACTTTTAAAAACCAAGGCGATAGCCAGTATTCACCTACGGGTTGTAGTATTACTTGCTATAAGGAGGATAGTTCTGAATTTGGAAGGGACGGAACCAAACTACGACCGTCATGGCGTCGTTCTCGATCATACGAAATTCTGCGCGGTTGCGAAATCCGAACTTTCGCACATGGTTTTCATCAGCGCCGCGTCTGCCGACTGTTTTAGACCGGCTCGCTCATAGAAGTGCAAGATGATGGAATCAACTTACCAAACCGTAACTAGCGTAGCGTAACGATGGCTATAGAACCCAGATACTGTTGTGACAGCAATGATACGGCCCTGTAGGAGGCCGTGATTATTGCTCGCCTTCCATTTTCGTAATTGTTGTGGATATGAAAGTACTATGTTGACCCAATTGAGTAGACAGACGACGGTTATTTGGAGATTTCTGACGAATATGAAAAGCTTAGCCACACACAAACACACGCACACAAGCGGGGTCAAGGCTGGATGGCGAATCTGCTTCGATGTGGCGGCCGCCACACGACACGCGACGCGACGCGGAAACGACCTCCTGTGAATGCCGCGCCGCTATTGGTTGGAAGCAGTTTCGTCACCGTGAGTTGGACGTCGATCATAATTACGAAATAACTCGGTTTTCCCTGTCGATGTTGCCACCTTTGCCAACACCTTCAGTATGGGCATGCTGACCATAGCGCAATCATGTCATCACGGGAACATACTTTTCACATATCGCTTCGTTAATCGCCTCTCATTGGCATCGCAGGGCGCAGAAATTTTCATATTTCCTAACCTCTTGTAACCGATTCATTCTTGTCACGGGACTTATCCTACGTTCCTCCAAATTTGAGCTGCTTTACGAGATTACGGACAGTTACTGCCAAGCGCTCAAGACGATCTGAATGATGTGCGTCATTTATTTTTAACAAATTCGCGCTTAAAAAATACAGTTTCGCAGTAGTCAGAAAGGGATATTGGGCAACAAATTAATCGCAAGTTGAATTAAATTCGTCACAGAATTGTCCATCAATACCTTTAATTATGGCGTAATTGGAATTCATTCCTAAATTAATGTTATCTTGATATTGTTTACTTTCATCGTAACAACTTACCCATGGAATCCCATGGAAAGTTCACAGGAAAACCCAAGTAAAATAAATGGTAGTGGGAAGCAGCAACAATAACCCCAATAATGACAGCACAGGCTTTCGGCGTTCACCCCGTTTCTGGGATGCGTAGCGTTCTACTTCAATTGAGAATCGCTGTGTTCGGCCTCAATGGGGCCTTTACTCTCCCACACAATTCCGGTGCCATCAACTGACTCTCGTGAAATGGAAGGGCTTGGTTGGTCAAGGCGGGTATACTATATTTGGAGCCACAACAATTATATTAATTGTATCATTGAGTTTACTGTTTTCTTGAACTCTTCACGAGGTTTTTAAGTATGCTTTATTAGGCTGACGTTTCGGCGGAATCGCCTTCTTCAGAGCCTGAAAGGATCATAACAATCTGTGACCATCCGACCAAACGTCTCCACCAACCCCACTAAAGCTCGAGACCCCCAGAGCACGCAAGTGATTGAAAGGAGAACCACTCACCGTAGCTTTGTGGATTCTTCGAAACCACCCAGCGAGTGATGGTACCAACCGACCAGTGTCAGCTGGGGTATGTCCTCATTAAAGTCTCTGCGGGAAGGCCAGCCTTATATAAGGTCGAAGCCCACACGTGATTGCGAGACATTCTTCCCTACGATTCATTTTGGGACTGGTGACCTGTATCCAAAATGCCTCGAGGGTTTTACGTGCGCTTAGTTGCGATTCCTGTGCTACGACCTCCACGGTGACTTCAAAAACGCCTCCGTTATGCTTTTGGATTCAGTGACTCCCCAAGGCAGAAGACTCTTTCAATCGCCTCCTACCATCTACGTGCTCCTTAACCCTCACGTGGAGTGGTCTTGCCGTTTCTCCAATATACTCGTCACCACAATCACGGCAAGTAATTTNGCCAGTACAACCCACATGATGAGCAACGAACTTATGCTGGATTGGGTTAGGTCATGCGTTGGATCGACAGATTTGCCATCAACCCTACTGATCGTCGACTCATGGAGCCGTTCAAGGACTATGAGGCCATTCAGAGCGCTTTGCCAACTGGCAAGGAGGTGAACGTGCTCATTCCACCTGGGGCAACCTCCCAAATTCAGTGGGTCGCATATGAAAGCAGAAAAGCGGCGCACGACACTCGGGGGAGAGGGGCCCATAACTTTGTTCCCAGAATCGTTTCGCAGATTTGGAACCCAGATTTGAAATCATCGTTTAGAAGAACTTACGTCGGTATACACCTCATTTTTAATGGCCACTGCGACCTAATACCCTTCCCTTGTATGTTGGATTATCATGTGCGCACGTAAATCGATCAACTATTGTCCCACAGCATTTTCTCTGAATGTGAGTTAGTTTGTACCAGCGCATTGAAAGTGCGAACAGTATATTACTGAGTTTGTTGTTGTCTTGAACTCTTCACCGGTGTCAGCTGGGGTACGTCCTCATAAAAGTCTGTGAGGGAAGGCCGTCTATATCTGTCTATATCCCAACATGACACTTCTGAAGGAATGCCTTAGTTGTAACATTTTCAAGTGGTCGGTAAGGTATTTCGCGCACACTAGAGGCTTGGCTATGGGGCAGCGATTGGTGCTCATGTTGGTCATATCATTTATGGCCAAGATTGAAGCGCCTGTACTGGAATATCTGCCCTTATTCTACTGCAGATATATCGATGATTGCTTCATAGTCTATGCGACACAGGAAGAAGTAGATGTGTGTTTCAGCCTACTTAGTTCACATTCAGAGCACATCAAGTTGACACGGGTAAAACCGACCGGAAATTGGCTTCCTTTCTTAAACGTTCAAGTGAGGCTACAAGGTGATATGATTGTTACGAAGTGATACGGAAAGCCTAGCAATAAGAACATCACTGTCCATTATCGTTCAGCTCATCCTTTCTACATAAAACGAGCGGTCGTTAGGAATATGTTCCGCACCGTTAGGAAGGTCTGCACTGGCGAGGATGAGCGAAAAGAGTCGCTAAAAATGGCACGCGATATAGCTTGGTCAAATGGCTAACACAATTTTCCAACTACACGTAGAGCCTCTTCTGGTGGTGTGATCCTCAGACATGGTAGTACCTTTTGTACTACCATTTATTTCTGATGAGGTCAGCGCCTCCATTAGAAAGTGTCTAAAGAGATCGGGTTTGGAAAATTTAGTTGCTATTGTAAACGTACCACCCTTCAATCTAAAGAAGCGCCTGATTCGTAACAGGCTATACGATCGCCTACGTACAACCTCAAAGTGTGTGGTTTGTACAGCTGGAAGGGAAGGTGATTGTAACATGTCTGGGGTGGTCTAGAATTGCTTGCCGGGATTGTGGTAATGAATATATTGGAGAAACGGCAAGACCACTTCACGTGAGGGTGAAGGAGCACATAGATGGCAAGAGAAGTCGAAGTCATTGAAAAAGTCTTCTGCCTTCGGGAGCAACCGAATTCAGAAGCATAACGGAGGCGTTTTTGAGGTCACTGTGGAGGTCGAAGCACAGGAGTCGCAAGTGTGCGCGCGTAGAACCCTCGAGGCATTTTAGATACAGGTCACCAATCCCAAAATGAATCGTAGGAATGTCTCGCAATCACGCGAGAGCTACGACCTTGTATAAGATTGGCCTTTAATGAGGACGTACCCCAGCTGACACTAGTCGGTTGGTACCACTACTTGTTGGGTGGTTTCGAAGAATCCACAAAG